GAGAGAGAGAGAGAGAGAGAGAGAGAGAGAGAGAGAGAGAGAGATTTGTTGTCCCTTCCTCTTTTATAATGACAAAAGTTCTCAGATCAGGGCTCCACCCTGATTACCTCATTTATCTTAATCACCTCCTTAAAGGATCCAATATAGCACACAGGGTGTTAGGGCTTCAACATATAAATTTTCGGTGACACAATTCAGTCCAGAGCATTCTGCCCTTGGACAACTAAAATTCATGTCCTCATAGTATGCAAAAAATATTCATTTTATCCTAATAGTCCTAAAACTCTTAACTCATTTCAGTATAAACTCTAAATTCTAAAGTCTCATAAAAAATATCAGCTAATGGGTGAGATGGGATAGACTTGAGGTATGATTGATCCTGAGACAAAATTCCTCTCCAGCTGTGAACCTGTGAAACCAGACAAGTTATGTGCTTATAAAGTACCATGGTGGGACAGTCATAAGACATTTCCATTTCAAAAGAAAAAAATACGAAACAAGGAAGTGATAAAGGTTCCCAATCAAATACAAAATTTAGCAAGGCAAATTTTATTAGATCTTAAGGCTCAAGAATAATCCTCTTTGGCTTGATACTCACCTTCTAGTCCCACTGGGGCAGTGGATCCACTCCACGGCTTTGGTCAGAAACTATGAAACAAAATTTCATCTGTGTTGAAACTGAGGCAATGGCCTCACCCTTTGAAACATAGGAGGATGACCTAATGATCTCTTTTTACATAATTTCAAAATATTAAGGTGGTACAAATATTTTTGTTACATGAATACCTTCTATAATGCTTATATTGAGGCTTTTAGTGTGCCCATCATGCAAATAGTGTTCATTGTACCCAAAAGGTAAGTTTTTACCCCTACCCTTCTCCGCATTTCTTGATTTACAATGACTTTACATCTTTTTGTGCCCATGTGTGCCCATGTTTAGCTTCCAATTATTAGAGAGTACATGTGCTGTTTGTTTTTTTCATTCCTGTGCTATTTCACTTAGGATGATAGTGATCTCTGAATTGTCTTTGGGATGGGTCATTCATCTCTTCTCTTGAAGAAAAGTGTAATGAAGAGTACAGCTGAATAGCTCTATGGTTTGGTATGGTAGCATCTAGGAAGTCCAACAACCTGCCTTCATTTTGTCTCATTTTTTTCTGTCCTCTTTAGGCCCACCTGGCAGTATTCCTGCCAGTATAATTCCATCTCTAGAAAAGCAACTTCTAAGCCCTGCCAAGTCTTTGAAAAGCCTTTCAGGTTCCTGCAACCTATTCACGAACTGTCTTGTTTCTCCCCACACCTGAGGGATGGTGGAGATCAAGAAACCCCCTGGGAGCTACATGGTCCCTCATAAAGCTTGGGACACTCAAGTACTCCACCGGGAGTGTACTTGAGACTACTACAAATGCAAAAAAAAAATCTCAACAGCTGGCTCTATCACATAAACATCAACCAATAACAGTGAGAACATTGATATAGCTTATCATAGTGTCTTCCAACTCAAGCAAACAGGGCCTGGATGATTCACACTCACAAGTACCACCCACCATCACTAAGAGTAAGCTGGGGAAACTAACTGATTACACACTGTTGGGAAGAGATAAAGACAGCAGGTGAGAGGTAACCCAAGAGGTACACCAAACCTGCTAGAACATCCCATAGGCAATTCAGGACCAGCACTCCTCTTCCTAGCATGTCCAGGGATTGATCTTCAGGGACCTAGAGATAGGCCTATAAGCCAGGCCATGCACCCCAAGATCTCGACCAAGAGGCCAGATCAGAAGGAATCAGTGAAAGAACTCCAGAAACATGAAAACTAAGAGTGAAAGGACACCCTAAAAAAGAAAACAGTAACTCCTTACCCATGGATGCCAACCAAAATGAAAGGTTGAAATGAGAGATGAAGAATTCCAAATATAGATTTTAAGGAAGCTCAATGAAATACAAGAGAAAATAGAAACCCAACATAAAGAAACCACAAAAGCAATGTGGGAAATGAATGAAAAATTTACTAAGAAAATCAAATTATTAAAAAAAATCAAACAGAAGGTCTGAAAATGAAAAGTCATCAAGGAAATACAAAACACAGTGGAAAGCCTTAACAATAGGCTAGATTGGGCAGAAGAAAGAATCTCAGAGATTGAAGAAAACACTTTGAGTTAAACAAGTCAAAGAGAAAGATCTGAGAAAAAAGAGAAATGAACAAAACCTACAAGAAATGAAGGATATGTAAAGAGGCCTAACATAATAATCATAGGCATCTATGAGGGTGAAGAAGAAAATACTCAAGGGTTGGAAAATCCATTTAAGGGAGTACTTGAGGAAAACTTCCCTGGCCTTACTAGCAGTCTAGATATCCAGGCACGAGAAGTTCACGAAACCCTGGGAGATTCATCAGGAAGAGGCAATCACCAGGACACATAGTCACCAGACTGGCCAAAATAAACATTAACGAGGCACTCTTACATGACATAAGGCTAAAGTAGCAGGTAACTTACAAAGGAAAACATGTGAGACTAATGGCAGACTTTTCAACTGAGACCATACAAGCCAGAGGGATTAGTGCCCCATTCTCAGTCTTCTGAAACAGAATAATGGCCAGCCTAGAATTTTTGTATCCTGCAAAACTAAGTTTCTTATATGAAGGAGAAATAAAGACCTTCTCAGAAAAATTCCTCAGACACTGAGGGAATTTGTCAAGACAAGACCTGCCCTACAGGAAGTACTCAGATCTGCATTATACACTGACCAGCACAATAGACACCCACCAGTGTAAAATCACCCAAAAGCTAAAGGCCAGAGCCCAGATGCCAAAATGCCTCAAGAGGTAAAACAAAGTAATAAAGTTCTATTCAACAGGATGAACAGAAATCTACCCCAGTTTTCCATTCTTTCAATAAATGTGAATGGCTTAAATTCCCCACTTAAGACACATAGGCTGGCTGAATGGACAAACAAAAAATACAAGCAAAGTATCTGCTGTCTCCTGGAAACACATCTAACCCACAAGGACTCATTCAGACTCTAGGTAAAGGGATGCAAAACAATATTCCATGCAAATGGAAACCAAAAGAAAACTGGTGTAGCCATTCTCATGTCAGATAACATAGACTTAAAATCAGCAAAAGTAAAGAAAAACAAAGATGCTCGTTATATAATTATGACAAGAACAATTCAACAAGAAGACCTAACACTCTAAATATTTATGCACCTAATACAGGTGTGCCCAGTTTCATAAAGTAAAGCATACTTTATCTAAACAAAATGATAAACAACAGCATCACAATAGCCAGGGACATCACCCCACTGACAGAATGAGACAGATTCTCCAAGCAGGAAAATAAACAAAGATATGATGGACTTAAATGGAACTCTAGAAGAAATGGGCCTAAGACATATTTTCAGAGCATTCTACTCAAAACCCACTGAATTTATGTTCTTTTATCATCTCATAGAACATTCTCTAAGATGAATCACATCCTAGGCCACAAAACATGTCTCAATAAATTTAAGTAAATAGAAATTATACCATGTACCTTCTCAGACCACAGTAGAATAAAATTAGAAATAAATTCCAACAGAAAAACTCAACTCTACACAAAGGCATGGAAATTAAACAACCCTATGCTGAATAGTTATTGGGTCAAGGAGGAAATTAAGATGGAAATCAAAAAATATTCTTCAAAGTAAATGACAAAGGAGACATGAGTTATCAAAATCTATGGGATTCAGCAAAAGCAGTCATAAGAGGAAAATATATAGCTATAAATGCCTACATCCCAAATGCAAAAAGATCACAAATCAACAATCTAATGAATTATCTCAAGGAATTGGAAAAATAAGACCAAACTAATCCCAAACCCAGCAGAAAAAAGAAATAACTAAGGTCAGAGCAGAATTAAATGCAATCAATAACAAAAGAATTATACGGAAGATAAATGAAACAAAAGTTGGTTCTTAGAATTGGTGAATAAAATCTATAGGTCTCTTACTAGATTAACAAGAAACAGAAAAGAAAGGACCCTACTAAGCTAAAACATAAAAGAAAAAAGGAGATATTACAACTGATACAACAGAAATACAAAATATCATCTCTGAATACTATAAAAATTTCTATGCACATAAACTTGAAGGTGGCAAGGAAATGAATGAATTCCTAGAAACACACAACCTCCCTCAGCTCAGTCAGGAAGAAATAGAATTCCTGAACAGACCAATATCAAGTAACAAAATAGAAGTAGAAAAAAAAAATCCTGACAAAAATATGCCTGGAAAACTAACCGAGTGCGCATTTGCCTGCAGAAGGGCACTGTGCGTGGAGATCAGAAGGTCACCATCAGAAAAGCTAAGTTTGCTGTACAGTAAGGATCAGGAGATCTGATCCTGATTGCAGAACCATCCCTGATTACAGAATCTTGGGTTGTGTCTCCCACTACATCCTCCAGACCATCCCAGAAGATCTAATAAGATTCCATCTGGGAAATCACTAGGAGTTCTTAGAAGGGAAAGAAGGAAGATTATTGGTTGGAATAAAAACAGGGTTGAATGAGTTCCAGAAAGCAGGCTTCTCAAACTCGTGGACAACAATCTGCAGAGGAAGACAACTTCAAAAAACCAACTAGAAGCAACATGCAGAGATGTAGGATGAGAGGGGCATCCTCAGGAAAGAAGACCGCTGGTCCACAGCAGAAAAATCTTGAGCCGGCTCTCCTGGGAAGATGGGGGGGTCGCTCTACAGAGAACCCCCCTTCAGGATCTGTGAGGAAGACTAGAAAGAACAAACAGAAGGCTCCTGGAAACGGAGATGGTGGCAGTACCAGCGAAGCACCTCAGCCCCCTAGGAAGAAAAGGGCCCGGGCAGACCCCACTGTTGAAAGTGAAGAGGCATTTAAGAATAGAATGGAGGTTAAAGTGAAGATTCCAGAAGAATTAAAACCATGGCTTGTTGAGGACTGGGACTTAGTTACCAGGCAGAAGCAACTCTTCCAACTTCCTGCTAAGAAGAATGTAGATGCTATTCTGGAAGAGTATGCAAATTGCAAGAAGTCACAGGGCAATGTTGATAACAAGGAATACGCAGTTAACGAAGTCGTGGCAGGAATAAAAGAATATTTCAACGTGATGTTAGGCACCCAGCTGCTCTACAAGTTTGAGAGGCCCCAGTATGCTGAAATCCTCTTGGCTCACCCTGATGCGCCGATGTCCCAGGTTTATGGAGCGCCACACCTACTGAGATTATTTGTAAGAATCGGAGCAATGTTGGCCTATACGCCCCTTGATGAGAAGAGCCTTGCATTATTGTTGGGCTACTTGCATGATTTCCTAAAATATCTGGCAAAGAATTCTGCGTCTCTGTTTACTGCCAGTGATTGCAAAGTGGCTTCTGCTGAGTACCACCGCAAAGCCCTGTGAGGGTCTACTGACCACTCACTGTTATCTGTCTGGTATCTGTAAAATCTTTTTGTTCTTAGTCCTTTTCTTGTATAATTGATGTTCTTTAAAATTGTTAATGTATAACAGGGCTTATGTTTCAGTTTGTTTTCTGTTCCGTTTTAAACAGAAAATAAAAGGAGTGACGCTCCTTTTCTCATTTCAAAGTTGCTACCAGTGTATGCAGTAATTAGACAAAGATGAAACATTCAGTAGAACATTTTCTTGCCTAGTTGACAACATTGCTTGAATGCTGGTGGTTCTATCCCTTTGACACTACACAATTTTCTAATATGTGTTAATGCTACGTGACAAAACGCCCTGATTCCTAGTGCCAAAGGTTCAACTTAATGTATATACCCGAAAACCCATGCATTTGTGCTCTTTTTTTTTTATGGTGCTTGAAGTAAAACAGCCCATCCTCTCTGCAAGTCCATCTATGTTGTTCCTTAGGCATTCTATCTTTGCTCAAATTGTTGAAGGATGGTGATTTGTTTCATGGTTTTTGTATTTGAGTCTAATGCAAGTTCTAACATGATAGAGGCAATGCATTATTGTGTAGCCACGGTTTTCTCGAAAAGTTGATATTTTAGGAATTGTATTTCAGATCTTAAATAAAATTTGTTTCTAAATTTCAAAGCAAAAAAAAAAAAAAAATATGCCTGGATCGTATGGTTCCACAGCCAAATTTTACCAGACCTACAAAATAGAACTGGTACCTACATTTCATAAATTATTTGATAACATAGAGAAGGAAGGAATCCTCCCCAATTTGTACTATGAAGCCAAGATCACCTTAATACCAAAGCCAGGAAAAGACACAACAACATGGTCTAATATCAAGAGAACTCCAAGGAGTCAACCAAGAGACTTCTGAAATTGATAAATCAGCAGAGTTTCAGGATACAACATCAATCTACACAAATCAGTACCTTTCATATATGCCAATAACAATTAAGCTGAGAATCAAATCAAAGATGCAATGCCTTTCACAATAGCAACAAAGAAAATAAAATACCTAGGGATATATTTAACTAAGGAGGGGAAAGATCTCCACAGGGAGAACTATAAAACACTGAGGAAGGAAATTGCAGATGAAGTAAGCAAATGGAAAAACATATCATGCTCATGGACTGGCAGAATCAACATTGTTAAAATGTCTATACTACCCAAAGTGATCTACTGATTCAATGCAATCCCCAGTAAAGTATTAATGTCATTTTTTATAGATCTAGAAAAAATAATTTTATGCTTCATATGGAACCATATTATACCCCAAATAATCAAGGCAACCTTAAGCAAAAAGAACAAATCAGGAGGCATCTCTTCATCAGACTTCAAGCTATACTATTGATACAAGGCTATACTAATGAAACCAACATGGTATTGGCACAAGAACAGAAACCTAGATCAATGGATCAGGAAAGAGAACCCCAGACATAAAACCCTCCTTATATTGCCATCCGATCTTTGACAAAGCAGTCAAAAACTTACACTGGGGAAAAGAATCCCTATTCAATAAATGGTGCTGGGAAACTTGGATAGCCACATATTTGAGACTGAAATAGGATCCACACCTGTTTCAGCACTCACAAAAATGAATTCATGATAGATAACAGACTTAAACCTAAGGTATGAAACTATTAGAATTTTGTAAGAAGAGGTTGTAAAAACTCTTACAGATATCAGCCTAGGCAAAGAATTTTTGAAGAAGACCCCAAAGGCAATGACAGCAACAGCAAAAATAAATAAATTGGACCTGATTAAATTAAAAGGCTTCTGCACAGCAAAGGAAATAAACAATAGAGCAAATAGACAACCTACAGAATGGGAGAAAATATTTGCATGCAATACATCTGATAATGGGCTAATAAACGGAATCTACAAAGAACTCAAGCGAATCAGCAAGAAAACATCAAATAACCCTGTTAACAAGTGGGCAAAAGACATAAACAGAAACTTTTCAAAAGAAGACAAACTAATGGCCAACAAATGTGAAAAAATGCTCAACATTTCTAATCATCAGACAAAACCAAATCAAAACCACAGTGACATATCACCTAACTTCAGCAAGAATGGCTCTTTTCAAAAATTCCCAAAACAACAAAAGCTGGCATAGTTTCAGACAGAAACGAATACTTATACACTATTGGTAGGACTGCAAAGTCGTTCAACCTCTATGGAAAGTAGTATGGAGATACCTCAAAGGACTAAAAGTAGACTTACCAATTGATCCAGCAATCCCACTACTGGGTACTAACCCAAAGGCAAAAAAAGCCATTTTATCAAAAAGACACTTGCACTGGAATGTGTATATCATCACAGTTCACAATGGCAAAGATGGAGAAACAACCCAAGTGACCATCAATCCATGAGTGGATTAATAAAATGTGATATATGTATACCATGTATACCATGCAGTATTACTCAGTCATAAAAAATGGTGAACTAATACCTTTTTTAACAACCTGGATGGAACTGGAAGCCATGCTTCTAAGTGTGGTATCGCAAGAATGGAAATGAAAACACCACATGTACCCACTATTGAATTGGAACTAAATGAGCAACCCTCATGTGTACATATGGTAGTAAAATTCAATGGAAATCAAGCAGGTGGCAGGGGGTGGAAGGGGTAGGTAAATTTACACCTAATGGGCACAATGTACACTATCTGGATGATGGACACACATATAACTTTGACTCAAACTGTACAAAAGTAATTCATTCAATCAAAATATTTGTAACACCATAATATTGTGAAATAAAAAAGAAAGAAAAACAAAAGCAAAAAACTCCCAAAACAAAACAAAAAGAATAAAAACAAGTAAAAGACCACTCTGAGCTCTAAGGCCATATAAAAAGAGGCAGCAGGCTGAGTTTAGCCCCAAGGCTATATAGTTTGCTGACGCTTGGCTTACATTATTTGAGGTCAAATATATGCTGACGTCCTTCCACCTCCATTTCCAAAGTGCACAATAAATACTTGTAAAATAAAAAAAAAAAATCCTTCCCTAATCCTGGCTTCCGCCCAGATGACTGATTAAATCTGTGAATTGCAACCATAATCTCTTTATCAAAGGTTGTTCAGCCACATCCTTAGTTTTCTGTTCAGAACAACCTTTCTTATTCATTACAATATGGAAAGATTAATAATTTTCAAATCTTTTAGTTATAGTGCCTTTTTCTATAATAATTCCTTTTTTTTTTTTTTGAGACAGGGTCTTGTTCTTTACCCAGGTTGGAGTGCAGTGGCATAGTCATAGTTTATTGTAACATCCAACTCCTAGGCTCAAGCAATCTTCCTGCCTCAGCCTCCTGAGTAGCTAGAATTATAGGAATACACCACCATGCCCGGCTGATGATTTTCTTTCTTTTTTTTAAATACGGATAGAGTTTCACTATGTTAACCAGGCTGGACTCAAACTCCTGGCCTCGAGTGATCCTTCAGCCTTGGACTCCCAAAGTGCTGGGATTACAGGCATAAGCCACTGCACCTGGCCTCAGTTCTTTCTTTAATTCATTTCTCTCCTCTTAGATTTAACTATAAGCAGTAAGGAAGATCCAAACTATACCTTCAATACTAGGCTTAGAAATCTCTACTAAATATCCACTTTCATAATTCACAAGCTCTACTTTCTTTTATTTTTAATTTCGGCATATTATGGGGGTACAGATTATAAGGTTTCAGTAAATGCCCATTTCCCCCCCACACTCCGCAGCTACTCCTGGCCCTCTGCCAGCAGGCAGACCACAAGCCACCAGGCCTCCCCGGACTGTTTTGCCGGTGGGGAGGTTCTCTGTGCAGGAACGCCACCTGGGCTGGGCGCACAGCTTCCTTTTGGGAGGAGGGTTGCCCTCTAGGACGCTGATCTGCCCCTGAAGGCACACACACCTCAGTAGGCTTTTCAGGTATTACCCTTCTGTGTCCTGGGCAATGCTAGACCCCGGTGCACACGATCTGGTCTGCAGGTCTGACCTCTGCGTCCCAGATTTCAAACTGTATCCCCACCAGGGAGAGGAGTTCTGGTCCCAATTCACCCACAGGGAGCCCAAGCTGGTTCTATGTCTCTCAGCCTCCTGGGATCTGCACCGTTCTCTCTGGGAAAAAAGCA